AACTCCAGAGCTTCCGTACAGCAAAAGAAACAATCGTTAAAGTGAATCAACAACCAACAGAATGGGAAAAAAAATTTTGCAATCTACCCATCTGACAAAGGGCTAATATTCAGAATCTACAAAGAACTAAAACAGAGTTACGATAAAAAAACAAGCCCATTCAAAGGTGGGCAAAGGATATGAACAGACACTTTTCAAAAGAAGACATATATGAGGCCAAAAACATGGGAAAAAATGCTCATCGTCACTGATTATTAGAGAAATGCAAATCAAAACCACATTGAGATACCACCTCACGCCAGTTAGAATGGTGATCATTAAAAAATCTGGAGACAACAGATGCTGGAGAAAATGTGGAGAATTAGGAACACTTTTACACTGTTGGTGGGAGTGTAAATTAGTTCAACCATTGTGGAAGACAATGTGGCGATTCTTCAAGGATCTAGAAATTGAAATTCCATTTGACCCAGCAATCCCATTACTGGGTATATATCCAAAGGATTATAAATCATTCTATAATAAAGACACATACACACATATGTTCATAGCAGCACTGTTTACAACAGCAAAAACCTGGAACCAACCCAAATGCCCACCAATGATAGAGTGGACAAGGAAAATATGGCACATATACATCATGGAATACTAGGCAGCCATAAAAAATGATGGGTTTGTGTCCTTTGTAGGGACATGAATGAATCTGGAAACTGTCATTCTCAGCAAACTGACACAAGAACAGAAAATCAAACACCGCATGTTCTCACTCATAGGCGGGTGTTGAACAATGAGAGCACATGGACACAGGGACGGGAGCATCACACACTGGGGTCTGTTGGGGGGCTAGGAGAGGTTGGGGAGGGATAACATGGGAGATATAAAAGACTGCGGGGCTTGGGGAGGTTGGGGAGGGATAACATGGGAGAAATGCCAGATATAAATGATGAGGGGATGGAGGCAGCAAACCACCTTGCCATGTATGTACCTATGCAACAATCCTGCATGATCTGTACATGTACTCCAGAACCTAAAGTACAATTAAAAAAGAAGAAGAAGAAGAAGAAGAAGAATGTTTCTGAAAAGGACTGACTTTTCTTTTCGTTTTTCTTTGATTTTTTTTCCCAATCATTTTTCTTATAAGAATTGAGCTTTCTTGATGTCAGGGAAAGAGGTGGACGGTGCTCCTTCTTCTAAAAACAAAAACTAAACCCAGAAAGACATCAGATCTGACCACACTGCCACTGAAACAACTCCATCAGCGGTCACCTCCAGATTTTTTGCAATGTGAGAAAAATAAATCATCACTTGCTTAAGCCAAAGTGTTATGTTATTTTCTGCCAAACATATTCTTAACTAACATGGTTCTCATTAAAACTAAATGGATCTAAGCCAACGATAATTGTAAAAGGCACACCTCCTCTGAAGAACAGCCAAACCTCAGCTCCTGATTTCTCTCCCACCTTCTACCCCTTCCCAGGGTCCCCCACGGTGTTTCCCAGACCCAGGAGGAGGGTGAGGCAAGCAAGGCACTTGCCCATCGTGCAAAAGGTAAGGGTGTGCCAAAAAAAAACCTCAGTAACCAAGATAAACACTATTTTAATACCAGAGTTCTTAAAAAACAAAAGATAATGATTTCTCTTTTTATTTCAGGCTCTTTTGTTTCATGGCTCAGAACAACACTGCTACTAATCCTGTCTTTATTTAAAATTTTAATATTTTGGCCAGGCATGGAGACTCATGCCTGTAATCCCAGCACTTTGGGAGGCAGAGGCAGGCAGATCACTTGAGGTCAGGAGTTTGAGACCAGCCTGGCCAACATGGTAAAACCCCATCTCTACTAAAAATATATAATTAGGCAGGCATAGTAGCACACACCTATGGTCCCAGCTATTTGGGTAGCTGAGGCAAGAGATTCGCTTGAACCAAGGAGGTGGAAGTTACAGTGAGCTGAGATCACACCACTGCACTCCAGCCTGGGCAACTAGAGCAAAACTCCATCTCAAAAATAATAAATACATACATAAAATTTTAATATTTTGTTCATCATATTTTTGTGTTAATTGTGCTTCTTATAATAAATAGATTTTTTTAAATCTTGACTATTGTTTTGGGGCCCTCCTTACATTTTGTGTCCAAGGGGAGTGCCTTACTCACTTACCCTAGTTCCAGTCTTGGCACCACTTCATTTAAGCAAATAAATGTATTTGCTTAAATACAGTATAATGACAGCTGGTGCTCATACTAAGCATGACTTTATTTTACTCATTTTTGCTTAATTTTGACTTTTGTCTTAGATACAAGGGGTACACATGCAGGTTTTTTACATGGGTATATTGCATGACGCTGACATGAGGTACAGAGTCTGTCACCCATGTAGTAAGCATAGTACCCAAAAAGTAGTTTTTCAACCCACACTCCCTTCTTACCCTCCTGCCTCCAGTAGTCTACAGTGTTTCTTGTTCCCATGCTTATGTCAATATGTTTTCAATGTTTAGCTTCTACAAAGACATGGAATCAACCTAGAGGCCCATCAATGGTGGATTAGATAAAGAAAACGTGGTACGTAATACACCATGGAATACTATGCAGCCATAAACAAAGAGCAAAATCATGTCTTTTGCAACAATATGGATATAGCTGGAGGCCAACATCCTAAATGAATTAATTCAGGAACAGAAAGTCTGTCTTTTTATTGTGATGCTTTGACATCTGGGGCTGTACTGATTCTGGAGAGACTGCTCCTCCCAGAGGTGGCCAATTCTTAGAGTGTGTCTTTCATGTGCAAACCAGCCAACTGGAAGCCCATACCCCAATCACCTCCTTTATTGGGCTCTCACACTCAGGTCACTATTTCCCTGCCCTAGTCATCCCAGAACCAGGTACCAAACAGCTAGGGACAAGCCCTATTACCCAAAGCAGTGAAATTATTCAAACTAGGCAATCCTAAATCTGCTCACCCTGCTTCTCCTGTTCCTTCCCATGAAAACCACAATAAAGGCTCCTGCTGATGTTTGTTGCTCCCATCCCTCTTCCTCCTGACTGACTCTGGGTCCTTCCCTGAGTGACACCCTGCCGCCATCAGCCTCCCATGGCATGCCATACCCCGTCTTCTTCAGAACTGTGAGTAACAAACTACCTTTTTGAGGGCAGCTCTCTCCTAATCTGTTGATCTCATCATATCTGAATAATACTAAAATCTACATTTTAAAACAGTGCTCAGGGAAGGTGATAGGAAGTGACGAAGGGTGCTGTTTTAGGTAGATGGTCTGGGAAGACATCTCTGAAGCAAGGTCTTTTGAGCAGAAACCTGAAAGCAGAGAGGGAGAGGCATGTCTGGAGAAAAGAAAATGACCTCATTCCTGACAAATTTGCTCATTTCCAAACCACCTTCCCCTCCTTTCCCCCCGCTTTTACAGGACCGTTTTATCCTGCTTTTCTCTTGCCTTTGTGACATCCCAGACGTCCTCCTCCCCCAGTTCTCCCAGGTCTCCAGCCTCAGTGATGTTTTAGGTGCTGATCTGTCTCCTGCAGCAGTGCTGAGGACTTTTTAGCCCTCCTGCGATGATCTCATCAACACTGTAACTTTATCCTGTCTGAAACCAAATGCATTATCATCTTCTTCCCCTACCCAAACAGAACTTTCCATACTTCTCACCTGGATTATGAAAGTTTCACAAATGGTCCTCTTCCCTCAAATCTTTCCCATAACCAAATTATGCTTTTCAGTGTTGCTAGAGTACACTTATTATGGTCCCTCTGCCTAATAATTTCAGTGGTTTCCATCTATAACATAAAGTCCAGAAATATGAGCCCCGACCCATCCTTCTAGCTTCATTTCCAACAATATGCTTGACAATCGAGCCTCTGCCCCACCGCTGTCCCCAAACACCAAAGCCCAAAGTCTACTGACTTCTTTCACCACAATAACCTTCACCTCCACTGCAGCCAGGCTCTGACAACCCTACCCCAAATATTTTTAAATACTCTAATGATGAAAGAAAGACATGTTCATTGCCAAAAATCTAGAAAATATAGACAAGCCCAATGAATAAAATTGAAATCACTGTGTATAATCCTACCACCCACTACCATTCATTTACAAGTATTAATTGAATATCTACTTTGTGTAAAGAATAAGATAGAAGCCAGATATAAAGGAAGTTGAAATTCTTTAAGATATTTGAATGACACAGAGAGAAATTTTTTTCATATGTTGTTCCCTCTGTCTGGAATGTTCTTCACCCCTCTATTAGGTGGCAAATTTTTCTTATTCCTAAAGATCAACTCAAGCTTTTACTTTTTTATGAATCCTTCCCGATTTCCCCCTAGATTGAGCTAATTACCACTTTATTTTATCACTCTGTGCCTTGTATATTCATCCATGGCAACCCTATCACATACTTAAAGAGTTTTGACTGTTTGTATATCTGCCTCTTCTTCTACTCCATGGGCCTTTGAGGCTGGGAACTATGGTAACACATCTCCAGCACCTGACACACAATAGGCTCTTAACAAATGAATCATGCTTCACAGGGCCTCCCTTGAGTCAGAAAAACCCAAGTGGCTTTTGAAGCTGCAACTCCCTTTGACAAAAGCTTTGTATATTTCCCAAATACCTCTTTTTATCTTAAAGCATTTTCCCAGGTCATGTTTTAATGTAATAACACACATAACTCATTTTAATGGGGCATGTTATACAATAAGCAAATTCTATTAGATACCAAAGCAAATTAAGAGAGTCATTTTGTACAGTTTGTACTCCCATTGAGCCCGCTAAAATTATTTAGCCTGCCTTTCTTACTAACACTCTGCCAGTTCAAAACATTTAAAATCATCAATTAGCTGATCCTTGCAACACCTCTCAGGGTTTGGCAAATGGTATAATATTTTAGAGATTTTTTTTTTGAGACAGAGATTTAAAAAAAAAAAAGCTATCCTCTAAAGCAGTTGGATTGCCCAGTAATGCATAGTATCTGAACAGTCAGCAGCAGCCAATGCTCAGAATGAAGACACCAGCAAATGACTTCTACTTCACCAGGGACCCCTGCTTCCACCACTCATCATCTGAAGAAGACTCATCTGAAAATCCCACAGACTTAAGGTAAGATCATCAAAGAAGTTGCCACCACCCATGGGAAACATAGCGCCATTTAGATAAGCAGGAACTTGTGGGGCATGTGTGTGGTGGGGGTCCACATGATGCGAAACACAAACATCAGCAGTGCAAAGTATGGGGGAGCTAAAAAAGAAAAATAAAAATGACTACTTGGGCCTGGCATGGTGGCTCATGCCTATAATCCCAGCACTTTGGGAAGCTGAGATGGGTGGATCACCTGAGGTCAGGAGTTCAAACCAGCCCAGCCAGCATGATGAAACCCCGTCTCTAATAAAAACACAAAATTAGCCAGGTGTGTTGGCACACGTCTGTAGTCCCAGCTACTTGGGAGGCTGAGACAGGAGAATTGCTTGAATCCAGGAGGTGGAGACTGCAGTGAGCTGAAATCGTGCCACCGCACTTTAGCCTGAGCAAGACAGAGTGGGACTCCATCAAAAAAATAAATAAATAACTGCTTGGTAATTTACCAGACCTTACCAGTAGGAAGGTATTCAGTGTATATTAAGGGGGAACTTAACCATTATATAATTATAGTATACTATATTATATTATATTATATTAATTACACTATGTTATATATATTATATCCAAACTAATATAATAGCATTTTTGATAACTCATACATATTTTTGTAACAATTCTGTAAAGTTGGTAATATCCCCATTCTAAATTTGAGTAAACTGAGGCTCAGAGTGGTTAAGTGATTTCTACTCATAGTCAGTAAGTGATGAGAATGTAGTCAAACCTAGATCAGTCTTTCTCCAAATGGAAGTAACCACTATACCGTACTAATTCTCAGTAACATGAGTATCATTGAATTAGCTTATCTATCAGGACCTGTATTAGTCTGTTCTCATGCTGCTAATAAAGACATACCTGAGACTGGGTAATTTATACAGGAAACAGTTCCACATGGCTGGGGAGGCCTCACAATCATGGCAGAAATAGAATGAGGAACAAAGTCATGACTTACATGGAGACAGGCAAGAGAGCTTGTGCAAGGGAACTCCCATTTATAAAACCATCATATCTCATGAGACTTATTCACTACCATGAGAAAAGTATGGAGAAACTGCCCCCATGAATTAATTATCTTGACCTGGCCCACCCTTGACACATGGGGATTATTACCATTCAAGGTGAGATTTGGGTGGGGACACAGCCAAACCATATCAGGATCCCTGCAAGAAACGGATGGCAAACACCAATTGGAAAGTGTAATAAAGGGCCCATCTACAGTGAGGTTGCCAGCAGGTAGGGAAACTTTAAGAGACAATGCAGAGTTAGTATCAGTGGTCCCTGTTAATACCCGTAAACCTAAAGGGGCAATGTGGCTACTATAATTTGGAGACAAAGAAGGTATGTGTCTAGGGGCATTTTTCAGAAACTATAACCCAGTCCAGAAATACAGCCAACCCATGGAACACTACAAAAAGAGGGAAGGGAGGTCACCTTCAGGCCTCAGCCTCCTTCTTCCCTCTAATCCCTGCCATCACTCCCATTGGCCAAGCCAACCTAAAGCCAGAGTGTGAGGTTAGCCTATTGAAACAGGGTATAGAACATGTTGGGAAAATGCAAAGAGTAGGCCTGAGAAAGCAAACAGGTTGACCAAATATGAATTTAAGTAAGAATTGGGGTGTCATGAGATGTCTTCAGGGTCAGCAACAAAAGGCAAAGAAAAGTATATATTATTCCAAAAGATACAACAGGAGGTGGAGAGAGAGAAAGTTTCAATTAAAACATAATACAAATTACAATTTAAGATTATAGAAAAAATACATTACATCCTTGAATTTTAAATATTTGATAAATTAAGAATAATCAAAATATGACTCTAAGTGTATATGATTTGTCCTTGCTTAACCTGATGGCTTGATGACTTAAAGGAAAGGCAGAAAGAGTTAAGCTAAACTCTCTAGGAAAAAAAACGGACTGGAAAAGTAGTCAATCTCTGCAAATTCTTTTTTCTATATTTTCTAATGACTAGCAGGCTCAGACAATGCCCAACCACATGGTCTAAGCTGCTCCCTTTTTTGAAATGAGCAAAATCTCAGGAACTGAAGAAGAGACAACAGAGAGGAAAGCAACAAAGAAAGTACAGAAACAAAAGAACAAATGGAGTCCTTTTATTAGAACATCAGACAAGGAATCTGCACATTCCTTGAATTTAATCAACAGATACTGTGTTTCAAATAAATATCTATAAGTTCTTTCCATTTTCACTATGATGAATTTCTGTATAATGAGGAATTACTCTATCATTAAAGAACAAATGGACATTGAAGTAAAAGCCTACTATAAAATAATATTTAAATTGAGATTAAATGCAGACATCAATGCCAGCCCCATTATTCCTTTAAGACAACTCTCAATATTCAAAAGCAAAGAGATTTTTCTGCCTTGAACAAATTATGCAACCTGCTAAGACTGCAGAACTCTATTTAAAAGCAAAAATGGAGAGATGTGCCATACTCATCGTGTTTTTTTGATCGATGACTGCATAAAAACTGAAGGAAGGGAGTTGAATCCCACAGATTTCCCCTTTGATGTACTTCCTAGTCTAAAGGATGCCCCACCGATAGCAGAGCCTTGGTACTATTACCATAAACATCCATTTGTCACTACCAGAACAGAGCTGACTGAAATATCAAATAGCGATGACAAGAATTCTCTGATTCACCATCATGAGGGAAAAGACCCATACCCAAGTGAGCAGGCCATTTAAAATGCAGGCCCCATTCCATGGCTTTACTTCTCAGGCAGCTGCAAGCTTAGCCTTAGAAAGCCTCTGCTGGGGCAAGGACGACCTCCTCAGATTATCAAAGCTACAGGGAAGGAAGAGCTACTCTGGTCCAAACCCCTCACTTTAAAGGTGAAAGGAAGCAGAACCCCAAAATATTAAAGTGGAAACCTTTCCCCACCAAAGGGAAACTTCTAAATATTTTTTCTGTTTTAGCAGATCTTTAAATCTTTCAGACCCAAACTAACCGCATTTAGCACAATAGCAATAGTAAATAAAGTAACTTAAATGATTACTCAGAAAAGTAACCAGATTACCGCTCTTCATCCAGTTAGGTGTAAAAGGAAAACTGCTGTCATGAGTAAAACTGGGGCAGGAGCTGTGCTAGAAATGGAAACGAGTACGTGGCCAAAGGCAAAATCTGCATGAATATGGAAAGATAGCAACAACATGGACAGCAGCTGAGTTTAAAGGCTTGCATAAGTCCATCATGGTTCTTTAAAAGAACCATCATTTACTTTAAAAGTCTTCAGCACAGACAATGGAACACAAGAATGTGTTAGTGTGTTAGCCCATTTTCATACTGCTATAAAGATATTACCTGAGGCTGGGCAATTTATAAAGAAAAGAGGTTTAATTGACTCACAGTTCCACATGGCTGGGGAGGCCTCAGGAAACTTAGCGATCATGGCAGAATATGAAAAGGAAGCAGACACCTCTTCACAGGGCAGCAGGAGACAGAGAGAGCACAAGGGAAATTGCTACTTTTAAAACCACCAGGTCTTGTGAGAACTCCTTCACGAGAACAGCATGGGGGAAACTGCCCCCATGATCCAATCACCTCCCACCAGGTCATTCCCCTGACATGTGCGGATTACAACTTGAGATGAGATTTGGTTAGGGCCACAGAGCCAAACCATATCAGTTAGCTTAAGCTCTGCTCAAAGACAGCCAGTCGTCCCAATCAGGAACCCACATTAATGGGGTAAAAGTCCACACACCAGAGGGACTACTGCTTGCACTTCATGTATTTATATCTTGGCCATCACCTGGCCTTTGCTAATGACAATAAAGAATTCCAGAAAGAGAGTTCTTTTGGTTAAATTAGGGGGCATCTTAATCAGTACCATGAATGTAGAAATAGGCTCCTGCTAGTGAAAATAGTGGTATTCAAGATAATGTAAGATTGGTTAAAATTTTTGTCACCTTCCCTACCCTCACATAAACAGAGTAAAAGAACTGAGGCCTCCATCCTGAATGCTTTGTGTGAGGCTTCATACCTAAATCGTCCTGTGCCCTTCCCCTACATTAACAGAAATGCAAACAGAATGGAAGGAAGTGCTGAGGGGAGAAATGAACAAACTGGCATTCCAGGACAGAGATGCTGTGATGCTTTGCTTTTGACAGCAGAATTTCTTAACTATGCAATCTTCAATTTTTAAGATTTTGAATGCATTTTTTTCAAATACATACAATAGGAGAGACTATTGGTTATCCTAAATCCTACATCATACTAAAAGAACCAATTTAAAGGAGAACACATTACCCTCAACCCCTATCCAACACAAAAATACACTTCCCAACCACAAATACAAGATCTTTCAATTTATGCAATGACTTTGTTCTCTGCATTGCACTGAATAATTTACCTAAAAGTAACTGAGTCTGTTTCACTGTCCAATTTTCATACGGTAGCACATTGTAGCAATCTGTTGATAAATACCTACCCTGCAGTGCTTCTAGATTAAATTTTTAAAACATACCTCTAGAGATTTTTAGTGATTTCCATTTAAATCATTTTCAGGTTTCTGCAATACCCCAATTTAAGCATCTTCAACATGTGGGGGTTTGTCTGACATAAATATCTTCAATAATTATTTAATATTAAATTATTTGTCCACTTTCAATATACTATGTCCATTTTTTAAAGTACCCAGCTAATTGCTTTTCCAAACTCTATACTGAACAACAAAGAAGAAAACATTACAAATCAATGGACAATAACAACAGCAATTGCTGGGGCTTCCATAATATTAAATACTGAAGATGAAGCAGCCAATTGTGTAGACCCAACTGAGGTTTCTTTGCATAATTCCTTAATGAAATGAGACTGCTACACTAGAAGTTGGGCAACCCTGACCCAGATTCTTACAGTAAGAGCAGCTGCCCTAGATGTCTGTCAAGATTGTGCATTAGAGTGTATTCTTAATCAGTGAACAATCAAAACAAATATTTCACTTCACTTCATAAATTCATGTCGTGTGATTGCATCTGACACATCTAGGAGAAGATAATCCCTTACAGTTCACTTCTTCCTGTTTCTAAATGTAGGCTGCATTGACTTAAACAATGTTCTCCACACTGTCCTGTATTGGAGAGGGTGTTCAGAGGATCTGGTGAAACAAGAATTCCTAACTGGTCCTTGGAGTAGGAATTATGAGAAACAGGACCCCTTGCCTAACCAGGACTGAGACTGCCACAGTGGGTAGAATACTCTCAAATTAGGCACAAGAAAAAATCAATGTGATATTCTTTTCAACAGAAATAAGAGTATCAGTATGTATTTTGGCATTGTTTCTTTCAGTATGGTTTATTTCAGCATCAATGACAGTGGCAAAAAAAAAGAGGAAATCACCTCAATCTCCAATCAGAAGGGAAATGATTGAATAAATTATTTTCCCCTCATTTGTGGATTATTATGCAATTAGAGAAGCAACATAACTCAGAGGTTAAGAGCCAGACTGCCTGTTTCTTGCTCTATCACTTTCTAAGCTAGGTGACTCACAAATTATTCAATTTTCATTCTCAAACTGAAAATGCCAATAATAATAGTATCTACTTCACAGAGTTGCTGAAAGGATTCCATATATGTAAGTCCTTATAAGAGTAATTTGGACAGCCTAAACATTCAATAAAGGAAGCTATTAATAATTAAAAGACTTAATTAAGCCTAATTAGATCCAATAACTGAATTGGATGGATGTCCTTGGCAAAGTAATGTTCCAAGTAGAATAACATGAAAAACTAACCCTATGTATCTCATATATTTGCCTTGTACAGAAAAAGGTATGGAAGAGTACACAACAAATTATTAACATTGGTTACCTTAGGGGTGGCCTTGGAATAAGACGAAAGGAAAATAACCTTTTTTCTATGTATACTTTGATGTATGATAATAAGCACGACTTACTTATATAATTTACTAAATCCAGTAAGGTAAGAAAAAAATGTATGTATTCATATCTAAGCATGTATTTGGATACTTAGGGAACATTTGGCCTTGGGCCTACATATGGGAACCAGAACTGGAGCTGGGAAGGAAAAAAGGCTGTGCTGCAGGTCAGGCCTGATACGGCATCTCCTTAACCGTTCATTTGTGTAGCAAGGTGGCAGACCCCTAGAGGACAATGACTGCATTGGTCACCTTAGTTGTGGCAGTACCCACAGATGTTACATGAATGGATGTCTCCATCCCAGGGCATATGATTTTGTATGTGTCGGTGAAGATGGTCTAAGTTATTCTGTGGAGACTTAAACAACACAGGTGTTTTTCTCATTCCTGCTACATCTCCAGTGCAGATCAGCCAGAGCTCCATGTCAGGCATCACTGGGGACCCAGGAGGCAGGACTCCAGCCTTCATCTGGAGGATTGCTGAGCCCATGGCAGAAGGAAAAGAGAGAATGGAGAGCTATGTATTGCCTCTTAAAAATTTGTATGACAGTGGTTCTTCTGTTCATATTTATTTGCCAAAGAAAGTCATATGGGTGTATCTGAGTCCAACAGGGTATAGATGTGTAGGCTTCCACAATGGAAGGCACTCAGGTGGATGAAAGGTAACGTAGTCTACCCTATTGCACTCCTCCACTGTTCTGTGTTATCCACACCTATTCTCCCTCTTCTTCTTCAGAACCAGTCTAGAATCTCTTACCCAAAAACCTTGGGCTAGATGCATTTCAGAATTCAGAATTTTTTGATTTTATGGTACAATCATAATTAGGTAATACCCTAAACAAGATTTGAACAGCACCTTATACTAGTATTTCTGTAGCAAAATACATAAATATTCACATTCAATGAAATAAATAATAACTAGAAATAGCCTTGTTTTAGTCTAGGTCTGATATTTCCACCAAATAAGTTTGTACCAAACTTATAGAAAAATTGAGGATTTTCAATGCTTTCAGGAATCCAGAATTGCAGGTAATGGACTGTGGGCAAATATAACCAAGAATTAGCTATAGAGTAAATCTGCTCTAATGTCTCTTTCTCCAACAGAAAAAAAAACAAAACTCAAGTGAGTAAGGAATTTAAAAGGAAAATGACATATTTTGGCAGTACCATGAGACTTTCATTCTACTTCCTATCAGGAACTGTGAATTATGTCATCACTTAAACCCAACAACAAAGCATCCAAAAGAAATCAAACCAAATTTGAACATCCTTCAAATTTATTTTTATTGTAGGTTTGACATAATTTATATCAAAGATAATAGTTTATTTGAATAAACTCCAGGTAGACAAAATTCCAATGTTTATTCCAGAATATGGACCAAATAAGCAATGGTATGCTAGGGCAACCATCCTAAGTACGTGTTAAAAGAAGAAACTTGGCCAGGTGCAGTGGTTCATGCCTGTAATCCCAGCACTTTGGGAGGCCAAGACTGGCAGATCACTTTAGATCAGGAGTTTGAGACAAGCCTGGTCAATATGGTGAAACCCCATGCTCAGAAAAGGATGGTCAGGATGTCTCTCCGGGAGCAGACTTTTGTGATTTCAGTAGGAATGACCAGCTGGACAGCGGAGATCACCCTGCTCCAGAGACTCAAGGAGGCAGGTGCATGCTGTGAGCAGGGGGCCAAACTGGAGGATCAGAGGCTGGAGCAGGGGCCACATGGTGTAGCGTCATCATTCCTGAGGCAAGGGAAGCTTAGGAAGGGGTCTGGGTAGAAAGCAGCCTGACAAAATTA